ATGGATGTAACTCCAAATAAGGAGTTTTAATCCGGCTCCACCTCGGGGAGGCAACAATGTTCTTCAATCTAATTAAAGTCAGTACATCTTCATTTTTTCAAACGTACCTTTAAGTACAAAAGGAAGTTCCCTAAGTTAAAACGCCTTATTTGGAGTTAGAACCATGATCCAATGGTCTACATCAGGAAATTGACTATATAAAGTGTTTTGTTTCACTGGCAAGTATTCAACTGATTGGGAGGAGGCTCCGTGAGAACAAAGCCCGGGAACTATGTACTGAGTAAAGGTAAATCTTGATTAAGGAATAGTGTTACTCTTTAACTAGTAGGAAAACATTTACACATGATCCTTAACCCATTCCTGTGCTAATGATAATAGTTTATCCTTATTCCAATACAATAGGCTTCACTGACAAAATACAGTCACATCACTTTACAGTAGATCGAGGGGAGGTGAGGAAAACATTTTTCATACAGCAAGTTGTTCGAATCTGGAATGCATTTGCCTAAAGGGGTGGTGGAAACCAGTTTGGTAACAACTTTTAAGAGAAGTAGATAATTATTTGGGCAGGACAAGTCTGCAGGGCTATGAGGAGAGATTAGGGAGTGGGATAGATTTGGTTAGCTCTTTTCGAAGAGTCAGCATAGACATAATGGGCTAAATGGCCTGCTTCTATGCTGTATAATTATATGTTTGTATGATATTATGATTGTATGATATCCTGTGAAGTGTTTTGGGACCACTCAATGACATAAGGTGTGATATATCAAATACAAGGATTATTATTATTATTATATTATAATAATATTATTATTATATTATTCTGTATTTTAACCTCATAGCTTCAATTCTTCGAGCAGTTTGCATTTGTGATGCACCTGAAACTTAAACAATCTGGGTTGATATTTCCAATGCAATGAGAGATGAGACGTTAAACCCAGATGCCCTCTGACTATTCAGGTGGATGTTAACGATCTATGGTACTATATGAAAAGAGAAGGGAGTTTAAGCAGGTGCCCTGGCTAACAATACCCCAAATAAAATCGAGCGTTCTCTTCCTGATTATTTGTCGAACACTGTTGTGTGAAATTAGGTGCTGCAGAAAAACATGCAGTTACTACATTGTACAGGATATCCTATGAAAGTAACACTATCAACCTTAAGAATTAGTAGCAGTAGTAGTACTTAGAGCAGACATTGGGACTAATTTGCTTGAATCCTATATTTTGGCATAATCCTGATACATGTTGCTTTTTGTTCAATGAAGCTTTTTTCTTATTTTCAGTTCATGATTTCCCTCTACTTCAAATAACTTTCCACTTTTGGTATCTTAATCCATTCGAATGGAGTTGGAATTACCATCTCAGATTCCGTCTGTGTTACCTCTTTCCTCTCCACCTTCAAAATCACTACAGCCAACATGATCGGGACCGTTCAAATTTTGTCAGTATAAGCAGGATGTCAACATAAACGGACAAACAATGCAGACACATGCATTGTGGTAAAAATTACTGTCGTGCTTCAGAGAAGGATTTGCAGTCTTCTTTTCTGGACTTTCCACTCTCAATTGCTCTGACTGTGCAATATTCATCCTCTAGTGCTTTCAAATAAAGTTTTGTTTTATTCCACTCGTGGTATCCATCATGGTATAGCACTATAATAATAATAATAATAATTCTTGCATTTGATATAGCGGTTTTCACGTCGGGAGGACGTCCCAAAGCGCTTCACAGAACACACTGTAAAGTGAATTGACTGTATATTTGTGGGCGAACGCGGCAGCCAATTGCGCACAGCAATGTCCCATGAACAGTAGTAAATTGAAAATGACCAATTTATTATTGTTTTTTGTTTTGGCGGGATTATTAGGCATGTGGAGTAAGGAAACTTGCCCAAGGTTTCGCCCTGCCTGGAATTGAACTCAGGTCTCTCGCTTGCAAAGCGAGTGCTCTAACCACTGAGCTACAGGACTCTATGAATGCCACTCGCACCACAGCTACATTATAGGCGTAACTAGCCTAGCATGTGCCACGCACATCCACATGAAAACACACACTCACGTGCAATCAGTCACACACACATGCAATCACACGCACTCGCATGCAATAAACAGCTGCGTTAGTCAATCACTCAAGCGCCTACGTGCCAAACTCACCCAATTACTCATTCACTTGCCTCACATGTCGCATAAGTCCTGTGGACTTAAGTTCGCATAAGTTCGTGGAGTCCTGTAGCTCAGTGGTTAGAGCACTCGCTTTGCAAGTGAGAGACCTGAGTTCAATTCCAGACAGGGCGAAACCTTGGGCAAGTTTCCTTACTCCACACGCCTAATAATAATCCCTCCAAAATCCAAAAAAAACAATAATAAATTGGTCATTTTCAATCTACGACTGTTTGTGGGACATTGCTGTGCGCAATTGGCTGCCGCGTTCGCCCACAAATATACAGTCAATTCACTTTACAGTCTATTCTGTGAAGCGCTTTGGGACGTCCTCCCGACGTGAAAAGTGCTATATCAAATGCAAGGATTATTATTATTATTATTATTATTATTATAAGGGTCTATCGACAAATGTGGCAATAACACAATGCACATTGTACCGTTAGGGACTTGAAGAATGTATCGACATAAGCGTGCCGAAGTTCAGGTCGACATCAACATACATGGTAAGTTTAGTGTGTTCGTATCTAGGAAAGGGAGTTAAAATTTTGGCGACATAAGCAGGATGTCAATATAAATGGTAACAAAAACAGAGAGAGCCAGGAAAACTCAGCAGGTCAGGCAGCATCTACGGAGATAGAAAGTGAGTCAACGTTTCGGGTCCACGACCCTTAGTCAGAACTTAACTGCCAAGCAATTTTTTTTGCCTTCCTTATAGCAAAAAACTTATCAAGGTGGATACTGAATGTTCCTGGTCATTCGTGAGTGTGTGTTCTGACGAAGGGTCGTGGACCCAAAACGTTGACTCACTTTCCTTTCAGTTCTGACGAAGGGTCGTGGACCTGAAAGGTTGACTCACTTTCCTTTCTCCATAGATGCCGCCTGACCTGCTGAGTTTTCCCAGCTCTCTCTGTTTTTCTTTCAGATTCCAGCATCTGCAGTATTTTGTGCTTTGTCGATATAAATGGGTTTGAGATAAATGGGTAGGACTATATTAAAACCTATTTCTTTCTATGACCATGTTTTCAGCCACTTTTCCACTCGCTCTTCAGCAACCTCTGTCTCCTAGAAAACCCCAATTCTGAATCTTGATTAAATTATTTGTGACACTTTGAAACATATTTCTAACATGAAAGGCACCAAACATTTTAGGAATCATTCCTGGTCATTAAAATGTGTAGGATTGTAGTCACATAGAAACTAAACCAGTGGTTCCTAATTGTGACATTTTTCTTTATGTTGATGATTTCTATTTTTGGGGGATTGGGGGTGTGAGGGGGAGAGAGGGAGGGAGGGTTGAAGAACATTGTTTCCTCCCCTCTCTCCTTACCTGAGCCCGCCACCCACCCCCCTGAAGAGCATCATTGGCAATGAATGGGCAACAGTTACATGCCAATAAAATAAAAATAATAAAACTAAAATCAATAAAAACAATAATAAAATAATAAATTGGTCATTTCAATCCATGACTGTTTGTGGGACATTGCTGTGCGCAATTGGCTGCCGCATTTCGCTCACAAATATAGTCAATTCACTATATAATCTATTGTGAAGCGCTTTGAGACGTCTCGAAGACATGAAAAGCGCTATATCAAATGCAAGGATTATTATTGTTGTGACCATATTTTAATGAAAAGGGTTGTTTGGTCAAGTCTCCAGTTAACTGAAGAGGAGCAGGGGATCATGAGTATATTTGGCTCAGTGAATATAATGAATAATTGAGCAATATGGTGCCATGCAAGAGATCTTTCTCAGACTGACCATATCAAATTCTATTGTTACAATAATGTGCTAACAAACAATATAATAAAGGTTGACTACGTCACATTGTATTTCTAACCAAAAAATCTGAAGAGAACAGATTTGGCAACAAAGGAACATTCAGCATCCACCTTGATAAGGTTTTTGCTATAAGAGGCAAAAAAAATTGCTTGGCAGATAAGTTAGGCACATCACTCTTTTTGTGATATTGTGCTAATAAAGAATACAAATGGAATTTTATTTTCTAATAAAGAACCCGCTTACCTACCCTTCAAACGAAGATGCCTGTCAGACAAAGCAGATGGTTGAAGTAGCCAGAGTTGGTATACAGAATGGGTGAGCGAGGCATATCATATGAGACTGTTAGCATATCACATTGAATGTTAGGATGAGAATCTTAGTTGATCCACTGCATAGGGAGCCAATGGTGCCAAAGATGGGGGGTGATGGGCTTGTGTAGCAGAGGTTGTCTCCTATAGAGTTCTGGAGCTTGTGGAGGGTAGGGCTGGGAAGTTGGTGAGCAGGACATTGGGGCAGGAATAAGCAAGTTAAATGTTTTCACATGGTTTGGGACTATTCCCTGTTTTTCCAGTTTACAGTACTTGAGGTGGAGTCGGATCAGAGTTCTATATGAATGTAGTGTCATTTCCATGTTTAACATACTCATAAACACGGGGAGGCACCAAGCTCAGAAGAGGGAAGTTGAACAAGCAATTCAGATTGAACAATTTTAAACAGAGTGCGTAGAACCTTCTATGCAGAAAGGCAGATTGTGTCAATAATTTCAAAATGAAATTAGTTAGCTACCTGGGGAATAAATCTATGTAGAGGAGATGAGAAATGGCATTTTGTTTTAAAGTTTCTTTAACTTTGGAACCAGATAGATGAATTGTATTGGCTTTTTCTGTTGCTGCTCTACTTATCAAGTAATGTGTCCAACAAAGAACAAAATCTCCAAAATGTGTCTGCCTGTTATTTCACGATAATGATTAAAATATGCTGGCAATATTTGAAAGTTAGATAACAGCTCTTGTAGACCGCTGGGCATAGCAATGAAAATTAGCTCGACACAGCTATATTGCTGCCAAGTCAAATTTTAATATTTAACAGATGTAAAAAGGACCTGGTAATTAAATTCTTGAAGCCCAATTGCTGAAACTGTGTTTACTCCTTAAAATTAAATTACTAAATTAAAACAAAATTAAAAATATATGCATCATGTAAAATGCTAAACGTCAAAATATGTAAAAAGATATGTTCAAATTAGATTGAAGTTAATGGCTGGTGGCAAAGCGCAAACAATATAGCGGCCAACCATAAACAAATGCCACTTAATATGGGAAATGTGAGCAATTAAATAACTCCTCATGTCAGATACTTTTGACTTCATTTACATATAATGTACCAAATACAGTTAAGGAAAAGTATGTGCGAAGGAGACAATCAATCAAGTTTATACAAAATAATTGCATTCGTTATTACAACAGCTTTTTCAGCAATCAATATTAATTATGANTTTTTTTAAAAATTAACACCTTGGTACAACCAATCTAAGTATTGCTAGCTCAAAGTAAGTCAATAAATAAGAATTAGCGAAAACTATTAAAAAATTAAATGTTCAAATTAAATTTAGAGCTTCAGTGCGTCAAATGGTCTGTTTTAAAACCCCAACATTTCTACAACAACTTGCAAAATGCAAGGATTATTATTATTATTATTATTTATTTATACAGTGCCCTTCACATGGGGTAGTGTCGCGGAGTGCTTAACAGTGGAGGAGCTTGATGCCTAGCCGGGAAGGGGTAACCATAGGCACAATCAAAGAGTAATGTCTTCAGATGTGATCTGAAGATGGTCAAAGAGGGGGCAAGGCAAAGGGATTGAGGCAAAATTTCATAGTTTTGGGCATAGCGGGTGAAAGGACAGCCACCGATGGTGGAGAAGAGGGGACGAGAGACATGCAGGAGCCAACTGAACACAGGGGCGGGTAATGGAGTGGATTGTAAGCAGGTCAGAGAGGTAGGAAGGTACCAGGGCATAAAGTGATTGGTACACAAGTGTGCATATCTTGAAATTGATCTGTTCTGGAATAGGGAGCCATTGGAGTCTAAGCAAGGACTGGGTAATGGGAGTACAGAATTTAGTATGGATGAAGATACGGGCGACAGAGTTTTAATTAATTGGATTTTATGAATGGTGGAGTTGGGGAGATCAGCAAGGAGGGCATTGAAATAATCGATCCAGAGGTGACCAATGCATGGATAAGGGTTTCAGCTGTGTTGGGTGTGAGATAGGTGGAGGAAAGCAGTCCTGCTCAGCTACCAGGACAGTTGGGGATGGAATCTAATGCCTAGGTTGCGCACAGGTTTGTAAGTCTGAGGGATAGATCGAGAAGGTTAAAGAGCCAAGTCTTGCCAAGATTCAGCTGCAGAAAGTTGGTGCTCATTCAGGCCTTGATGTCTGATAGGCAAGAGGACAGAACACTGGTCAGTAGAATCTGGGGTGATAGCTGGAGAAATAGATTTGGGTGTCATCCACATGCATATGGAAGTTGACCCCATGTCATGCTTCCAGTTTTGCCAACATTGTTCTTGATCTGACTGTATATATGCACGAAAAGCACGGGCTAACATGGTTTCAGGTTTCTGTACACATGGAAGCATCTTAATTCCAATTGATGGCACCATGAGGATCACAAGCATACACCAATGAACCAATGTTCTACCATTCCTCGCCATTATCCTGCTGACTACACCAAAAATATTCCAAAAATCTTTGAATTATTTAAAAAATTAAGAATTAAATACAACACAAAGACATGGTTATGCTATTACAATGCCCAGTATACTCATCTGTTGATATTTTTATAGATTTAATTTATATTAAAACAGATCTGATTATAATTATCCTCTGAAAATACATTAAGAAGAAAAATCATGTCTTAGAAAAGCAAAAAGTGTGTGGTTTTCTTTTAAATAATTATTTCCATGCATATAGATGAAGAATCGGAATCCTAGCTAATGGTGTACGTGTCAGAGTTAACTGGCTCCTCCATAGATCTCACTTTATGTGATGATGAAACTGGATGACTGCTTTTTCTTGTTCACTTGTTTCTATAGAACCATGACGAATTTTTCGGATCTCTTCAATTGCATCAACTCCTGTTATCTTCTTACTTTGTACAAGATAGCAGGCCAACATTGTTCCAGTTCTTCCATGACCATGGAGGCAGTGAACTCCAACTGCCTAAAAAGATCAGAAGAAAAGTCATAAGACAATTTGCACTCTTCCAATTAGTAGTCGTCACTGCCGTGCCAATCTGCACCTAATACTTTCTGGAATTAGGTAAGCAGGATGTGCCCCTCCAGAGAGAGAGTGCGCATTCTATTCCTTTCCATATGTAGGTGGGTATGCATGGAATTCTTAGTTTGGTTTAGACACTATTAAACACGGTGATAGGTTTCTGGGTGTGTCAGACATCCAGCTGACCAAAAAATTACTGTAGCAGTAATTCATTACAAAGCTTTCAAAAATAAAAAAAAGTTATTCTGTTTCCAGTGAAATGCCAATTGAGTACTTAGTCCTGATTCTAACCATTCAACTGAGTATATGTTAAAAACATAAGAAATAAGAGTAGGCCATTCGGCCCCTCGAGCCTGCCCCGACATTTAATAAGATCGTGGCTGATCTTCCAACCTAATTCCATTTACCTGCTCTATCCCCGTATCCCTTAATCCCTTTAGTTTTTAAAAATCTAACGATCTCAGTCTTGAATATGTTCAATGACTGAGCATCCACAGCCTTCTAGGATAGAGAATACCATAAATTCACCACCCTCTGAGTGAAGAAATATTTTCTCAACTCAGTTATAAAAGGCCGACCTTTAATCCTGAGATTATGACCCCTAGTTTTAGTTTCTCCAACCAGGGGAAACAGTCTCACACTATCTACCCTGTCAAGTCCCTTAAGAACCTTATAGGTTTCTATAAGATCACCTCTAATTCTTCTATATTCTAGAGAACATAGGCCTAGTCTACTCAACCTCTCCTCGTAGGTCAACCCCCTCATCCCAACCTAGTGAACCTACGCTGCACCCCCTCTGAGGCGAGTATATCCTTTCTTAGATAAGGAGATCAAAACTGCACACAATATTCCAGGTGCTGTCTCACCAAGGCACTATACAATTGCAGCAAGACTTCCGTACTCTTGTACTCTAAACCCTTTGCAATAAACTCTAACATGCTATTAGCCTTTCTAATTGCTTGCTGTACCTGCATACTAACTTTCTGTGACTGATGTACAAGGACACCTAAATCCCTCTGAATACTAACACTATCAAGTCTCTCCCCCTCTAGAAAATAATCTGCTTTTCTATTTTTTCTACCTAGGTGAATAACTTCACACTTCCCCAAATTATACTCCATCTGCCACCTTCTTGCCCACTCACTTAACCTGTCTATATCCCTTTGCATCCTCCTCACAGCTTACTTTCCCACCTAGCTTTGCATCGTCCATGAATTTAGATACATTAAGCTCTATTTCCTCATCTAAGTAATTGACGTAGACTGTAAACAGTTGACGCCCAAGCTCTGATCCTTGCGGCACTCCACTCGCCACAACCTGCCACACAAATACACATTGTTGAAAGATATAGGTCACATGACCTCAGAACTGTTATCATAATTGGTTGAAAGTATGAGCGTTTACTTATTTGTTATAATAATAATGCGTTTGCTTAGTGGTTTAAAATAGTGTGGTCAACATCGTTTTATATGAAAAGAATATCATGGCAATTGCCTAACGTAGACGGACACGGGGTCATGAAATGTCCTAGAAATTTGAGGAAATTTGAGTGAACTGCCATGCCCTACTGGAGAGTTGTGGTGACGACTGCTTGCATCATGCTGACTACTGTCGGAAGAATGGGTAATAACTTCTCGATTCTTGATTCTGTAACTTGATATAGATAACGGCTACCTGTTTAGTGGACAGAATTAAACTTTGTTATACCTTTATTGGATTGTCTGGTCATTATTTCGAACCTCGGGGTCGGAAATCCCAACAACATTTACTGACTTTGGTAATGTTGGGTGTTGGGTTTCTAAAGTTATTAAAGAGGCAGATGCACAAGTACCCAGTTTGTTTTCACCGTGCACCTGTTCACACTGTCACAATCATTCCAGCCGACCTATCCAAACATAAATTCCTTACCAAAAAACAAAACTGTAGAAGTTAACTGAGGTTCAAACTTTGGGACATTTCCCCAGCAAAGCAATCTTACTTAGTTTACATGCTGGGATCCAGAATTACAATGGTAGGTCAGTTTCACTGGGAATTTGAGCATTGAGGGTAAAAGTGACATTCCTCTTGATGCTGGTGTGACAAAGCATAGCATAAGCTACAGTTACTTCTAAATCTGTCATCATGCATCAATTTCAGCACATTAGATTCCTTAGGGTCAGCTGCTATTGTTCATCAAGGATAACATCATTCAACTACAAATTACCATAGTTTCAAGGTAAAACAAATCAGCTTTATTACAGCAATGTCATCACCTCCAGTCAAGCAAAACTTGCACTGGAGGCTATGGTGTCAAATCTAATCTCAGGCAGAAAAACATTGCTTAATTACCTTAACTACTAGACTGCTCTCAGATCTGAGCACATCGTATTCATTGAAATGGCTTGTCATTGTGTAGTTAATGAATAATAATGAGTATGTGATGTCACATGTGCTACAGTACCACAAAACACACAGAGGCACGGAGTTATAGAAAATTATCTACCTATTAAACAAGATTGTGCACTTTATAGGGATAAATTTTATAGATAATAAAAAGAAATTAAAAAGATAGTTAACAATAATAATGGTTCAAACAAGTATTTTAAAGATTGAGATTCAATTATCATCTTGAATTCCATTCTAGTCAGCCCCTTCTCTGATGTTAAGGATTCATTCTGTGGTACAATTTCATGGGCTTTATGAACTCTCCAGTCACCCAAGTGGTCATTAATCATGTGTTAGCCCAATCATAAGCATCACAGATTATGATTCAGCAAGTGGTTTGACCATGGGCATGACAACCATAGATAGCATCTTTCCATCAAGGGTCACTTGATAATAACCAATTATAAACAGGAAGGCTGGCTGATTTTTCCCTTCCAAACCCGATGCACTGTGTCCTATAGTATCACCAGAAATACTGCCCTTGCCAATCAACCAATACAACAACAACATTTCATTTATAAAGCGCCTTTCACGTCGGGAGGACATCCCAAGGCGCTGGACAGTTGGGTCGGGACCCGAGCAGGGAGGAAATGGTCAGGGTGAGGGGACGGAATGGAGGGAGCGAGGAAGGGGTAGAGAGTCGAGAGGGGAGCTGAAGGCACGGTCGAAGAGAAAGGTCTGGAGACCGGCCTTGAAGGAGGAAAGAAGGAAATAGACCAGGAATTAAATATCAGAAACAAAAACAGAGAGAGCTCGGAACACTCAGCAGGTCAGGCAGCATCTATGGAGAAAGGAAAGTGAGTCAACGTTTTGGGTCCACGACCCTTCATCAGAACTGGGGCACGTTGGGAGAGAGAGGTCTTTAAGGACAAGTTGAGAGTAGGAGGCATGACAAGGACGACAAAGAAGACAAAAGCAGAGAATGCGTGAGTTGGTGGGTTAAAGAGGTGTTAGTGGCATAAAACAAAAGGGGGGAGAAGAGGTGTTTATATTACAAAATGAAATATCAGACTTGTCCTTACCAAGTGAACTATTGATAGTCCTAAGTACTTTCTGGAATTAGATATGCACGGTAAATCCTTCCAGGGAAAGAAAGTGTGCACTCTTCCAGATACAGAAATTTCTGCAGGCAGCATGTATATGTGGAACTATTAAGTATGGTGATATGTTTCCCACTTTTGTAGGACACCTAGCTGACCTTTTTTTTGTAAAAATGTGTTAAAAGTCTTTTTTCTTATCAGAAAAAGGGAATGTCTGCTATTTTAATAAATAGCATTAATACTGTCTTTGAATCGTTTAAAAGTAGCACAGTGTGATGTTGGATCTCACAAAACAGGGCTCATAACACAATCCAAATTTACATTGTATACCGCCATTCGCACCGGAAGGACGTCCGAAGCCACTTATATGAAAAAAACAAAGGGCCTCACAGTGGCAATCTTTTTAGTCAGTTTTTAAACACAAAGAAATTTCAGGAGTGACCTAAGGTAGACAAAGAGGGATTGAGGCTGGGCGTTCCAGGGGTTTGAGGGGTAGTGGCTGAAAGTACAGCTGCTCAAAGTAAAATGGTGGGGACAAGAGATGCACAGAAGGTCCTAGTTAGCTGAGCAAAGGGGGTGGATAGAGGAAAGGAGTGTGAGCAGGTTGAGATATTGTCAGGTGCTGGAGTATGAAATGATTTGTTGGTGAGTGGGAGGATCTTGAAAAATTAACCCCATCTACAATAGGGAGGCAGTGGAGCCTGGCAAGGACTGGGATGATGGTGGTGGGGAGTTTATACCATGTAAAATACTACACTTCAAGCACAGTTAAAGGAGAACACCAGATACAAGAATCTATTTTTTCTCATTTCTGATTTATCTTAATTGTGGATATTCAATAAGTAGACAATTGGTTCATTTCTGAATTGAAATGTATATTGACAGAAAATGTACACATGATACATAAATGTATTAACATAAATATTTTAGTTATACATCAGTTAATAGTGCTTTAATCTAATAACAATGGTATACTTACTTCTCCCTTTGCATTGGCATCTTTAACTATAGAAAGAAATCTCTTGATTTGTTCCAAAGAAGGTGGCGTGAAGTCAGGCATACTTATATGGTGAATTCTCACTTCTGGACAAGTATCATGGTATGGCGGCTTTCTTTCACATAGAGTGACAAGATGTCGAATCCCATTGTCATGTAGATACTGATAGTGAGCAGGTAACTTGGGCAAAGCCATTCCAGCCAGCTTATTTGGTGCAATCCAGGAAAAGTTGTGTGGTGGAACAGGTGGCATGATAGTAATTTATCTGTTAGTGAAAATAAAAACACCCTGGTTAAATATTACATAACTTCCCTTCAATGGAATGTTGTGCTCTCAGCCTGCATCAGTAGCACAGTAGTTTTTGAGTCAGAAGGTTACAGGTTGAAGCCCATGTCTTCTTTGAAATGCGTCTTTGAGGTGGACATTAAACATCTCACTGGATTATCGAAAATAGAATGGTGTTTCTCCTGGTGTCCTGGCCAGTACTCACCCAGCAAAAATTAGCCATTCACTTTATGGCTGTTTGTGGGAAATTGTTGTTTGCAAAAATTGGCTGTTCACCTACAAATACAGCCACTACACTTCAGTAAAAATTTTGTGATGCACTTTGAGATGTCTCGCCAATGTGATAAGGCGCTATATTATTAATTACCACAGGTATTTGTTGTATTTGTTGATTTCTGCAAAATAGATTCAAGTGTAACAAGAGAAACTTCTGTTTTCTAGCATTGTTTACTGTCCCGCTTGTTCCTGATATAATTATAAAAATAACTGTGTATCTCAAGCACAGGTTAATGACAAGAATAACAACAACAAATTACATTGTACAGCGCCTTTCACCTCAAGGGTACGTCCAAGGCGCTGTATAGTCAGGGATCTGCACCTGAGCTGGTGGTTGGGATCAGAAGGGGTGGAGGATGGGGAGAGTAGGCATAGGAGGGTGAACAAAGGCACAGTCGAATAGGGGGGGTCTCAAGACGGGTATCGAAGGAGGCAAGGGAGGGGGCGAGGCGGAGGAACTGCGGGATGGAGTTTCAGAGAGAGGGGGCAGAAGCTGAAGGCCTGCCCACCAACGGTGGGGCGAGCAAGATAGGAGACGTGAAGTGGGCTGGAACCCGCTGAGCGAAGGGAGTGGACAGGTTAGGTCAGAGGTAGGGAGGAGCAAGGCCATGGAGGGCTTTGAAGGTATGGACTAGGATCTTGAACTGTATCCTCTGTGTGATTGGAGTGGAGTGATGGGGAGGCAGTGGAGCTGGACGAGGATGGGGGTGATAGGGTCGCGGAGCTTTTGTGGGGGAGAGCACATGAGCTGTAAAGTTCTGGATGATCTGCTGTGAAATTGGGTTCAAGCGTTTATCAGAAACCACACCAAGGATATTATTAAAACGCTTTATCAGCAATTATAAAACCACACAAGCATAAGCATCACATTACACTCAACACATTATCGTCACTCGTCACGCTTAAATGACTGCTAGAGCACTATCTTAACAAGATACACTCAATACTAAAATTCTAAACATATATAAAAAAATGATGTGATATATGAAATGTGCCTAAATAATTTAACTGTTTTGTATGTATGTTGGTTGCGTGTTTTAGTGAGTAGGAGAGATGCTACCAAG